TTTGGGCAATTTTGGGCAATTTCCGGGAATTTCGGGAATTTTTAAGAATTTTCAGGGAAATTTGGGGATTTTTGAAAATTTTGGGGAATTTTGGGGGGATTTGGGGAATTTCGGGGCGATTTTCACCAATTTCAGGGAATTTTGGGGGGAATTTTGGGGGAAATTTGGGGGATTTTGGAGCTGGGACAGGTCCAAACTGGTCTGGACTGGTTTGGACTGGATTGGACTGGTCTGAACTGGTTTAAACTGGTCTAAACTGGTTTGGACTGGTCTGAACTGGTTTAAACTGGTTCGGACTGGTCTGGACTGGGAATGCTGGAGCTGGGACTGGTCTGAACTGGTTTAAACTGGTCTGAACTGGTTTGGGCTGGTTCTGACTGGTTCTGACTGGTTTAAACTGGTTCTGACTGGTCTAAACCGGTTTGGGCTGATCTAAACTGGTTTAAACTGGTTCCGACTGGTTCTGACTGGTCTAAACCGGTTTAAACTGGTTTGGACTGGTCTGGACTGGTTTAAACTGGTTTGGGTTGGTCTGGACTGGTCTGAACTGGGAACGGCAGAGCTGGGACTGGTTCTGAACTGGTTTAAACTGGTTTAAACTGGTCTGAACTGGTTTGGGCTTGTTCTGACTGGTCTGGACTGGTTCTGACTGGTCTAAACCGGTTTGGGCTGATCTAAACTGGTTTAAACTGGTTCCGACTGGTTCTGACTGGTCTGAAATGGTTTGAACTGGTTCTGACTGGTTCTGACTGGTTTAAACTGGTTCCGACTGGTTCTGACTGGTCTGAACTGGTTTGAACTGGTTCTGACTGGTTCTGACTGGTTCTGACTGGTCTAAACTGCTTTAAACTGGTTTGGACTGGTCTGGACTGGTCTATACTGGTCTGAACTGGGAATGGCAGAGCTGGGACTGGTTCTGAACTGGTTTAAACTGGTTTAAACTGGTCTGAACTGGTTTGGGCTGGTTCTGACTGGTTCTGACTGGTTTAAACTGGTCTAAACTGGTTTGGGCTGGTCTGAACTGGTTCTGACTGGTCCAAACTGGTTTAAACTGGTCCAAACTGGTTCTGACTGGTCCGAACTGGGAGCTCAGGGCAGGGAGGGACTCCAAATTCGGGATTTTTCAGCCCAAAATGGAGCCGGAAACTCCCAAAAATTCAGCCCCGAAATCGCCCAAATTCAACCCAAAAATTCCCCCCAAAATCCCCCAAATTCAACCCAAAATTCCAAAATTCAGCCCAAAATTCCAAAACTGAACCCAAAATACCCCAAATTCAACCCAAAAATCCCCAAACTCCCCAAATTTTGCCCAAAATCCCCCAAATTCAACCCAAAATTCCAGAATTGAACCCAAAATTCCCCCAAATCCCCAAAATTCCCCAAATTCAACCCAAAATTCCCCAATTCAATTAAAAACTCCCAAAATTCAGCCCCGAAAATACAAAATTGAGCCCAAAATCCCAAAATCTCCCAAATTCAACCCAAAACTCCCAAAATCCACCCAAAAATCTCCCAGATTTTGCCCAAAATCCCCCAAATTCAGCCCAAAATCCCCAAATCCACCCAAAATCTCAAAATTCAGCCCAAAATTCACCCCAAATTCCCCAAATTCAGCCCCAAATCCCCAAAAATCCCCAATTTCAGCCCAAATCCGAGCCCAGACACCGGAAATGCCCAAATTTCAACAAAAAACCCCAAAATTCAGAAATTTTACCTCGAATCTTCTCAGGTGATCTCGGACCAGGTGAGGATTTGTTAAAACCGAGTTTAAACCCCAAAATCTCCAAAATTCAACCCAAAACTGAGCCTAAAGCACAAAAATCACCAAAAATTGCCCAAAATTGTCAAAATTTGACCCAAAAATTGGGGTTTTTAACCCAAATCTTCTCAGGTGATTCTGAACCAGGTGAGGATTTGTTAAAACCGAGTTTAAACCCCCAAATCTCCAAAATTCACCCCAAAACTGAGCCTGAAAGCTCAAAAATCCCCAAAAAAGCCCAAAATTGCCTGAAATTGTCAAAATTTGACCCAAAAATTGGGGTTTTTAACCCAAATCCTCTCAGGTGATCCCAGACCAGGTGAGGCTTTGTTAAAACCACGTTTAAACCCCAAAATCTCTAAAATTCACCCCAAAACTGAGCCTAAAGCACAAAAATCACCAAAAATTGCCCAAAATTGTCAAAATTTGCCCCAAAAATTGGGGTTTTTAACCCAAATCCTCTCAGGTGATTCTGAACCAGGTGTGGCTTTGTTAAAACCGAGTTTAAACCCCAAAATTTCCAAAATTCACCCCAAAACTGAGCCTAAAGCACAAAAATCACCAAAAATTGCCCAAAATTGTCAAAATTTGACCCAAAATTTGGGGTTTTTAACCCAAATCCTCTCAGGTGATTCTGAACCAGGTGAGGATTTGTTAAAACCGAGTTTAAACCCCCAAATCTCCCAAATTCACCCCAAAACTGAGCCTGAAAGCTCAAAAATCACCAAAAAAGCCCAAAATTGCCCAAAATTGTCAAAATTTGACCCAAAAATTGGGGTTTTTAACCCAAATCTTCTCAGGTGATCCCAGATCAGGTGAGGATTTGTTAAAACTGAGTTTAAATGCCAAAATCTCCAAAATTCAACCCAAAACTGAGCCTAAAGCACAAAAATCACCAAAAATTGCCCAAAATTGTCAAAATTTGACCCAAAAATTGGGGTTTTTAACCCAAATCCTCTCAGGTGATTCTGAACCAGGTGAGGCTTTGTTAAAACCGAGTTTAAGCCCCAAAATCTCCAAAATTCACCCCAAAACTGAGTCTAAAATCTCAAAAAACGCAAAATTGCCCAAAATTGCCCAAATTCGCCCCAAAACTGAACTTAAAAACTCAAAAAACATCAAAATAGCCCAAAATTGCCCAAAATCTCCCAAATTCACCCCGAAACCGAACCCAAAAGCTCAAAAATCACCAAAATCACCCCAAATTTACCCAAAATCGCCCCAATTTGACCCAAAATCTCCCAAATTCACCCCAAATTCTCCCACCTGGATCCGGCTCCTCTCACCTGAGGCTCGCCCGAGGGAGGGGGCGTGGCCGCCGTGACGTCACCGATGACGTCACTCCCAGACGGGGCGTGGCCTCGTCAAAAAACCGCAATTTCCTGGAGTTGTTTTTGAGGTTTTTTCGGGGAAATTTCGGGGTTTTTTGGGGGTTCGTGGGCGTGGCTTGTTATGCTAATTAAGGAGGGTTTCCCGCCCAAAAAAAGGCCACGCCCACCCGGCGTTTTCCCGCCTTTTTTTTGAGGGGATTTTCGGCCATTTTGAATCGAAATTGTTTTGGGTTTTTTTGGGTCAAATTTGGGAGTTTTTAATTGGGATTTTTTTAACCCGGGTGTGGGCGTGGCCTCTCTCATGCTAATTACCCCCCTCTCCCCCTCAGAGCCCGCCCACTCCCTTGGTATTTTCCCGCCATTTTGCTGTAGAGCTGTCGGGCATCTTGGTCAGCCATCTTGGTCGGCCATCTTGGTCAGCCATCTTGGTCAGCCATCTTGGTCAGCCATCTTGGCTCGATTTGGTCCGCCATCTTGAATCAGATTTTTGGGGTTTTTCCGACGTTTTTTGGGTGTTTTCCACCGAGACTTTTTCCCCCCGGATGTGGGCGTGGCCTCCCCACTCATGCTAATTAACCCCCCCCCTCTCCCCCTCAGAGCCCGCCCGCTCCCCCGTGCTTTTCCCGCTCTACACCTGCCAGGACTGCGAGGATCAGGTGACCTTCGCCTGCCTGGCTTCCGGTTTTTTCCCGTCGCCGGCCGAGATCACGTGGGAGGGCGTGGCCGAGGGCGGGGCCATCCGGGAGTTCCAGGAAGTGCTGATGGGCGCCGGCCGCTACGACCGCAGCTCCCGGGTCACGGTGGGCGTGGCCGAGGCCGAGGGAGTGACCTTCCGGTGCCGGGCGGAGCATCGGGGGAGCAGCGTCAGCATCGACATGGAAGGTGAGAAAAGCCTGGGAATTTGGGTTAAAAATCGGTGGTTTTGGGTTAAAATTGGGGATTTTCGGTGAAAAATGGGGAAATTTGGGTCAAAATTAGGGAATTCGGGTTAAAATTCAGGATTTTGGGTGAAAATTGGGGATTTTGGGTGAAAATTGGGGAAATTTGGGTTAAAATTAGGGATTTTGGTTTAAAGTTGGGGATTTTGGGTTAAAATTGGGGAATTTGGGTTAAAATTCAGGATTTTGGGTGAAAATTGGGGATTTGGAGTGAAAATTGGGGAAATTTGGGTTAAAATTGGGGATTTGGGGTGAAAATTGGGGATTTTGGGTTAAATTTCGGTATTTTGGATTAAAATTTAGGATTTGGGCTTAAAATTGGAGATTTGGAGTGAAAATTGGGGAAATTTGGGTTAAAATTGGGGGGTTTGGGTTAAAATCGGGAAAATTTGGGTTAAAATTGGGGATTTTGGGTTAAAATTGGGTTTTGGGTTAAAATCGGGAAAATTTGGGTTAAAATTGGGGATTTTGGGTTAAAATTGGGTTAAAATTTGGGTAAAAATTTGGGATTTTGGGGCATTTTGGGGAACACCTGTCTGGGATTTTTTGGGACACCTGTCCAGGATATTTTCCTCACCTCACCTGTCCCCTCCCCCCACACAGGCTGCCCCCGCCCTCTCGTGGATTTTTCCGTCTCCCTCCTGAGCGACCCCCAGCTGTCCCACCTGGAGCTGCCCCAGGTGCTCCTCCTCTGCCAGGTGAGGGGGCGGGGCTCCGACGAGGCCACCCTCACCTGGTTTGTCAACGGTGACGTCGCCGAGATGGAGGCGGAGCTCTCCACCTGCGAGGAGGGCGGGGCCGGGGAGGTGACGCTGAGCGGCCGCGTCAACGTCAGCCGGGAATTGTGGGATGCGGGAGCCACCTTCACCTGCCAGGCGGGCCACGCCCAGCTGGCCACGCCCCGCAACGCCTCCATCAGCACCTTCTGCAAAGGTAGGGA